CGGCGAGCGCTCCCAGGACGAACAGGCGGCGTCCGCTGTCCGGCGGACGAGCGGGCGGCGTCCCTGTCGGGCGGACGAACAGGCGGCGTCCGCTGTCCGGCGGACGAGCGGGCAGCGTCCGCTGTCGGGTGGACGAACAGGCGGCGTCCGCTGTCCGGCGGACGAGCGGGCGGCGTCCGCTGTCCGGCGGACGAGCAGGCGGCGTTCGCTGTCGGGCGGACGAACAGGCGGCGTCCGCTGTCCGGCGGACCAGCGAGCTGTCGCTGGAGGCCGGCTCCGGTGACAGATGCGGCTGTTGTGCGTGCTCTACACGCGTGTTCTGTCGCCTCTGCGCCGCTGGGATGGAGTTGTCTCGATTGTCGGTTGGTGGCGTCGGTCAGGGCTGTGTGCGGCCCGCGCGCGACCGCGGTCTACAGCACGCCGAGCCCCGGCCAACCAGTGGGCACCCAGTGAGCTAGGATGACCTGCAAAATCACGCCGATGGCCGCAGCGATGGCAGGACGTGAGCATCGCTGGCGCTGGGAGCGCACGACCAGCATCGTCACCGCCCCGGCCTGCAAGGCCACTGTGTGGGTCATCTCACGTCGTGCCCGCCCGCTTAACACTGGAACCCGTCCTGGCTCCAAAACCGGTGCTAGGACTTACCGAGCTCGACCCACTTTGCACTGTAGTTGTGTCCGAGCGCCGGCCACATCTCGCAGTCGCCGGAGATAAGCGAGAGTCAGGATGCCGCCGTGTTTCCCCTTTTTCCAACATAAATGTGCCAAGGGCAGATTTGCTGTAATCAAGGGAGCGCCCGGAGCGTGCGGTTCATCCGGGATTGCGAGGCGTTTTTGCCTGCAGTGGGATTTAAGCAGTGGTTGAACCAGAGGGTCGTATGGGTCCCATAATGTATCCACGCGAAAACGTGAAATGGGATCCACGACACCTTTTAGCCTCTCTGGTTGATTTATAGCATTGACATCGCCTTTTTAATTTATTATCTCCTTTTTAAAAATCGACCTGGCTTCTTTCGCACTCTGAAGTTACTGAAAGAGTTGCTCGCCATCTTGAATAAAAGGTGACATCGCGTTCGTACTCAATATTTATGAGGTATACAAGCAGCCAAACAAACAACGTAATGCCCGTTGGGGACAAATAAATCGAAAAATTATATTTCATCAATTGTAAAATATATTATACTTCTCTTACAAAAATAACTTTTTCGAAAGCAGTGCTCGCTATGATGCATCGATGGCATTGTCTGTCATTCGACAGTGTTGGGTAGCATGTGGGGATCAGCGGTGTACCGTGTTTCTTAATACCGCTTGCGTCTCGGACGGGAGGTGCTCTACCGTCTCGGACGGGATGTGCTGCACCGCCTCGGACGGGAGGTGCTGTACCGCCTCGGATGAGGGGTGCTGTACCGTCTCGGATGGGGGGTGCTCTACCGTCTCGGATGGGGGCGCCGTACCGTCTCAGCCGGGAGGCGCTGTCCCGTGACCGGCAGGGGTGCTGTACCATTTCGGACGGGAGGTGCTGTACCGGCCCGGATGGGGGTGCTGGGCAGAGTGCAGCATGTAGTGCAGCGCGGGACAGGATCGCTTGCTGCTGGCGCCAGCGGCTGGATTGTCTCGGCTGAATGGAACGGAGCGGTGCTGAAACTTTGCGGCAGGCTGGGCCCTCATGGATTACGTCAACGAACGTTTATTTCATGCCTACTAGATTGTTGGTATCTGGGAATGGCTATTGGTCGCCTCAGCGTGTTCAGTCCGTGCACGCGGCTGCAAGCTGGGAACGGCAACAATGGTCCTGAGCGAGCAATGCCATACATGTACCGAGCGATCCGCGGCCTCCATTGCCTGGGGGAATCGGGTGGGGTGGGGGGGAGGGGCATAATTCAGGTGGACGGATACCACCGCTGGGGCGAGCGTGCTGTTTTGCCTGACTGACGAGGGAAGGTCAGCTGGCAACTGGCCAAAACCGGTGAGCCTAACCGCCCCGACCAGGTTGACCCGCTTTGTGGAATGGCGGAGAAGCGTGTTACGTGCAACCCTCCGCGATCCTGTCTGGTAGCAAGAGCGCGTGCAAAATTATCCGGTGAGGTTCATCAGCCCACCTTCGGTGAAAGTTCGGGGAGCTTGCAGCAATCATTCTTGCCAAGTATTCGAGACACGGAAAAGATATAGGAAAAGAGGAGCAGCGAGGGACTGCCTAGTATCACGAAAGTAATGGAACCATGAGATAGAAGTGGGACAAAATGACCTGTCACGATTAATAGATAAGAAAGATAGGAATGCATCTCTGCGGTTGAAGTCTGGCTTCTGCGCTGAATTTAAGACGGGAAAATGCCCATTGAGATCATGTGAGGTTTGACGGCCTGAATCAGTTGGAGCGACAGAAGACGGATGGCAGGATCCATAACTATAACGTACTTAACGTGTTTTACAACGTGTTTTATAACGTGTTATAACGTGTTCTATAACGTAGTTAAGCAGATAATCTGAATTCGCCTGCCCGCCAGTCTAAAGCCCATGTGCGTTCGTGAAGCCTGTGAGACCAAGAGCATCCAGCGCGGCAGGACTGCTTCGCCGCGCTGCTCACGGCCGGTTGACAGCCGGGTGCCGGAGCTGATTAGCCTGTCTCTCCGCCGACAGATTCTATCCCAGTTCGTCTGTTTTATCGGGTGTGAAACACGACTCGCTAATGACTCACCCATCCCCACCCCTTGCCGCTAATTGCCTCCACGCCCTGGGCCGACTCGGACCGGGTCAAGAGGCTACCTCCGGCGCGTTCCGGCGGCGAAAATAGCCATTAGAATTGCGGAAACCGAGTTCCGCCCGCGCACCCGACCACAAACAGACCGCCACCCGTGCCGCGTTCGCCGCACGCGTTAATAATGGATCGGCGGCCCAGCTGCCGGCGCCGCCGTCCAGAGGATATCCGGAGTCGAGGCGCGCTGTCGATCCGCCGGATCGAATGTCGCTCTCCGCAGGGAGACGCCGGAAGCGAGGGGAGCGGGGCGGGTCGTCGACGCCGACAGCGCGCCACCGGACGCCCCGCGGGCGAGCGGGAGACGGGGTGGTGTGGTTCCTGGCCGCGGCCAACCGCGTGCTGAACGCGACCTGACAGCAGCGCCGTTATCGGCCGGCAATTAGCTTACAGGCCTGGCGCCAGTTCGTGCGGCTCGTGTCCGTTAAATGGGTGATGATTTTACTACGGCGGCGACCGCCGGTCCCGACTGCACCTGCCTGCGCGAGCCCGTCTGCTGCCTCGGTGCTGATTGGCTGGCCGCCAGCGCGCGCCGCCTGCTGATTGGTTGTCCAGCACGTGCGACCGGGCCGACGAGCACCTGCTCTTGTGAAGAGTATTTCTGGCCTTGTGGCGTGTCGCCGCGCTCAGTGGGACCGCGAACGTCGAGGGGCGAGGGTGCGCTGCGATAACGGGAGAGCTCCGAGAAGAGACTGGAGATATTTGAAGAAGTGGAGAAGTATAATGGTATCGATGGATAATCCATCTCACAAACCCTTGAAGAAGAGGCCGCTGGCGCTGGTGGACTACAACACGTCGGCAAATGGTGAGCTCCCTTCGGCTTTAACAGGGCGCCATCCGCTTCAGCCTTTGCATTTTCTCGATTTTTGTCCTTTGCGAATGCTGCATCGAGTAGGGGACTGTGAGGACCCGCACCGCCCACTGTCCGTTCCGTCGTATGCTGTCTGTCCGCCGAGATGACCAGGCGGCGCGCGCGTCTCAGTCTGTCTTCGATCGCGAGCGGTGCTGTGACCATGCCCTCGCCTCTGTTCCAGACGACGTGCTGCCGCGCCTGAAGCCGGACCGGCCGCTGTCCAGCCCGAAGCTGGAGCCGGAGAACCTGAGCGTGCGGCCGGCATGCCTGCCGCCGGCTCCGGCGCCGGCGCCTGCGCCGCTGCCGCCCTACATCCCGTTCAGCCTGTACTACCCGCTGCCGGGCGGCGAGCGGCCGCGGCTGCCGCCCAACCTGTACCGGCCGTACGCGCTGTCGCCGCCGTCGCCGCTGCCGCTGCCGCCGGCGTCGGCGCCGCTGTACGCCGCGCAGCCATTCGAGCGCGAGTTGCCGCCGCACCTGTCGCCGCCCGTGCAGCCGGAGCAGGGCCTGCCGTCGCCGGCGCACGGCGCTGCGCTGGTCTCACCGGCCGGCACCGACATCCTGCGCTCGATGCTCAACCAGCCGCCGCAGACGCTGACGCTGACGGCGCCGCGGCCGGCCGGCAAGCACCAGTGTTCCACCTGCCGCAAGGTGTACACCACTGGCGCCGGTCTGGCCAAGCACCAGCAGTTCCACTGCGAGCAGCGCCGCTACCCGTGCGATGTGTGCGACAAGGTGTACACCTCGCAGGGCGCGCTCAAGATGCACGTGCGCACGCACACGCTGCCCAACAAGTGCCAGTTCTGCGGCAAGGCGTTCTCGCGGCCGTGGCTGCTGCAGGGTCACATTCGCACGCACACGGGCGAGAAGCCGTTCCAGTGCGACCTCTGCCATCGCTCGTTCGCCGACAAGTCGAACCTGCGCGCGCACAAGCAGACGCACACCGAAATCAAGAAGTACAAGTGCGCCTCCTGCAACAAGACCTTCAGCCGCATGTCGCTGCTCTCCAAACACGAAGAAAACGGCTGTCCGGGCGCCGGCCAGTGAGCCGGCGCGGCTCGTGCCATCTAGCGGCAGTGAATCAAACTAACGCAACGAAGCTCCACGAGTGCTCATTCTAGTCCACATGTGTAAATACGTTCAAGATTCGTCTTCTCGCTCTGTGAATGTTTTTGTACGTCCATGTTAGTCGCCCTCGCCTAGATTTTTTGTAGATGTAGGATGTTCGAGGCGTGATGACGGTTCAGGAACTTGAGGCTGTTCTCATGCATGTGTATATATACCTGAAAACCATACGATAGGTGAATCAAGTGCCAATACTGTGGAAACTTGCTCATGCCCCAATGGCTAGTCACATTTCGACTTGTTTACGTGCGCATTGATGGTGGTATTTTGAAATACATATATATGACGTTTTACGACTTGTGTTCGTCGATTCAAATGAGTTGTGGTTTCAAACGGAGAATCACGCCGTGGTCCCTTCGCGTGCAGATTCAGGAAGAAGGAAACACATAATTAGTGACCTTGACGAACATATCATGCTCCTCCACAATTTTTGCGACACTTTGATGCTATTTCTACGCATAGGAGTGCACGTATAGCCATTGCTTGAAGTCCAAAATGATGAAAGCTGTCTGCAAAGCTGCCTCCCACTACAAGAAAAATTGTAGATCCTTAAACTATTAAAGGTGATAGGATGGTGAGGCTGGAAGTGCAAAGTCTTACCGTCAGCAAAACATGGTTTCCAAGAGCGACAAAATAACAGCCGCTTCAGATAACGTAACAGAAAATATGCCTTCAAAAAGCTGTTAGTTTTTTGACACACCAATCATAATGTTCGATTATGATTTTGGGAAGACACAAGCACAGCGATGTTATCCAAAGAACCCAAACCTGAAGCCTGAACCCAAACCAAGGCGAGAGGAAGAGAGAGAGAGAAAGGGAGAGAGAGAGAGAGAGAGAGAGAGAGAGAGAGAGAGAGAGAGAGAGAGAGAGAGAGAGAGAGAGAGAGAGAGAGAGAGAGAGAGAGAGAGAGAGAGAGAGAGAGAGAGGGAAGGAAGAGGGAGAGCGTAAGAGAGGATGATGGGTGTGAACCAGCGAAAACCGGCAGATCATATACGGAAATTATCATTTTCTTAAGGATATTGAAGCTACTACGGACCTTTTTCATGGCGTGAAAATCCAACTTATACTAAGTACATCCTCATCCTGCGTTAGTTGAAAAGTATGTACTGCCAGGGCAATTACTATAATTTGTCAAGGAGCGTTCTGACAGCTGCGGTACAAGCTCTGACAAAAAGATGTGCACATTTGATATTCCTTGCCAAAAATCGAGTGAAATCTGACAGAGGCCATAAAAATGCTTGCAATGGCGGTGTGGTGAGATCAATAAATCACAGATGTGTGCGTACTTGTTTATATGTTCCTAATCTTAGCCACCACATATATGTTCTTCATTAGAGAACACTCATGCTGTATCTGGACTATACTAGATGAGAGCGATTGGGCTGCGTGGTGGAGGTGTCCAAAATGGAACATCACGCTCGATGGAACGGTAAGGCAAAAATGATTAATGATGCGGGCAGATCATTTTGCACGGCTTCGGGCTGGACAAAGTGTTCATTCAGCGGAGTTCTTGTGATAAAAAAGCTAAATTAATAGTGATGTATCTTGAGTAATACGAACAGCATGCCAGTGTTACGACAATTTGGTGAATAATGCAACTTTTAGTTTCATACTGGGTCTTTCAAATATTGCTTTTACTCTTCGAGCAAAGTTTCGTTGCCAGCCACCATAAAAAGGACCATGCAACGATAAATGCTTCAACAGGCTCAGTACACCCCCTACAGCGTTTTGATAATCACAGTGCGCTGCCGCTATGTTCATCAAGTCAGTCCAATGGAGCTGCCCGATGCAAAAACAAGCTGGAGACAGAGTCGGAAAATACATTGAATCGAACCAGAAGAAAATCAGGCCATCCATTGCGATCAAAACGGACGACATCCGATGTCAAAATCGGCGGGGTGTTCTGGGACGACGTCTGGAAGTCAAGACACATCAGGTGGGTGGCAAAGACGATTGACGGCGACCGCATGCGTCCGTCCGACCGCCAGTTCTTCCACACCCTCATTCCCCGAACGCTGGACCGCCTGGACAACATCTGCATCACCCTGGACGAGAAGGACGAGCGCGACTTCACCCTGCTGGCCAACATCAGCTGGAAGGACCGGCAGCCCTCGCTGCGGTACCCGGCCGTCCCTGAGCAGTGCGCCTTCGGCCGGTCCAGCGGCTTCCTCTGCGTGTTGCTGGACGACGGCGACTCCTGCCACTACGTGTCCGGCTGGGCGCAGGACCGCGTGCAGGCGCTGGTGGACGGCCGCCACTCGTCTTGCGGCTATCGGGAGCGGCTGCGTATGATGATGCACGCGCTGGGCCTGATGCACGAACACGACCGGGGCGATGCGGTCCGGTTCGTCGCGCTGCACCCGCGCCTGCGCACGCTGGCCAGACATGACGACCTGCTCGAGTACCGCATACCACAAGACGATTGCGCCGTGTTCCGGCAGAACGGCTCGTCTTTTCCGTTCGACTACGACTCGGTGATGCTGCACGACTACGCGCTCCGCCCCAACGCCCAGCAGATGGACTTCGAGCTCCCGCTCGTACCCAGGCGCCCACAGGACGTGAGGAAGCTGCTGGCCAGCCACAAGCCAGAGCTGTCGCACTTCGACCAGTTCAAATTACGTCACTTGTATGGGTGTCGCCCGAAGCGGTGCCGCCATATGCGGCCGTGCGAGAACTTCGGCTTCAGGGATAGACTCTGTCGATGCGTCTGTGCACCTGGTTATGTGGGTCAGCTCTGTCAGCACAAAACCTTGCTCCCCACTGACCCCTGCATTCAGACCGTGAAGCGTCCAATGAACATCACCCTTAACGCCACAGGCTGTCATCCTCAAAACAACCAGCCGTATAACTACACAATCGTACTGTCTGGCAAGGCGCGAAAGCGCTTCGTGATTCGCATCGACATGACGCCGCTGCGAGCCCTGCTCGAAGCACTCCGAGTCCTTCCGACCTGCGAGCACGCTCGCGTGTACTTCTCCGGGCCGGGGACGGCGCGTCCGATGCTCATCTGCGCCGAGCGCCTGCTGCACACGCCCGTCACCCTGACCTACGCAGCGTCCTGAGACGCTGCTGGTGCTGGTGTTGGGGCTGCCGAGCCCGCCGTTGTCGGGCGACACCCCGGCCGACCCGGCCCGCGCCGCCGGCGGCGTCCGCCTGGCCGTCACCGCCGAGCTGGACCCGGCCAGCGAACTGACGGTGGACACGACCCGGCGCGCTCCCGCCACCGCACCGTCCACCGCCGAGACCTCCACCGCCACGAGCAGCACCGTCACCTCCTCGGAGGCGACTCCAAGCTCCGCCGACGCCACCCCCGCCCCGCCCGACCCGCTGCCGTCCCCGCCGCCGCCGAAGCCGACGCTCGCCTCCCTCCGCTCCCATGAGCAGTCGGTGCTGGACGGGCAGGCCCAGGCGGCGAGGGAGCAGGTGTCAGGCGCCAGCCCGGCGGCCACCGGCGGCGCCGTGGCCGCCGTCATCCTGGCCGTGCTCGCCGCCACCATCGCGCTGACCGCCTACAGGATTCGCCACCGGAAGGAGACGGGCGCCGACTCGGCCGGCGACGCGTCCGAGCCCGGCGACGCTGAACCGACCGACGGCGAGCCGGAAGAGGGCGTGGAGTATGCGGACGGCTCGACGCAGGCGGCCGCGCCGCAGCCCTAGCTGACCCAAGCGGCCGCGCCGCAGCCCTAGCTGACCCAGGTGGCCGCGCCGCAGCCCTAGCTGACTCAGACGGCTACGCCGCAGCCCTAGTTGGCTCAGGTGGCCGTCCTAGCTGCAGCGCTGGAATTTCGTCGGGCGAAGATGTCCTGCTCCGCCTCACGGTGTTACTTGGCAGCGATCACGAGCAATGTTTCGAAATCAATTTGTTGACCGCTGTCGAAACGTGATTGAAATCTTTGGACATTTTGGACTGTTTGCCAACATTCCACGCTTACTTTGTGCGAAATAACAATAATGAGCATTGCAGGGATTTGTTTTGCTTTTGACAATTCACTTTCTGTTGACGTTCGTAATTCTTAATGAAGTTTCAACCGCATAGGTTTCAGCGTTTGTATGTAAAGCAAGCAGGCCATTTTAATGTTATTGCAAGGCGTAGCTCGCTGTTATTTCCCCGACTTCACCAAACCATTTGAGCCATAGGAATTAACCGGACAGCTTCTGCCACTTGATTGAAGCGCGCTTCGCAATGTCGCATGTCCACAAGTTCACATGCCTCAAGCACACCGTCACACGTGTTGACGCTTCATCAAATGAGCTACAGGGAAGCTCCCTGGAAGTGTGCATGCCTTTTCACTGATTTCGCGCACGAATCAGTCCCAAACAGCTACCAAAGTTTGTCGGTGTTGTTTAGGCCCGATGCAAGTTGCACGCTAATGTGTCATGATGACGCTTCTGGGTGGTTCGCAGAGCCGCCATTTTTCATCGTTGCACATGCTTCTGGGTGGTTCGCAGAGCCGCCATTTTTCATCGTTGCACATGCTGCATATTATCATGACCGTTTGCTGTCCGACCGCTCTGGCCTGGACGTGGACGGTGCGTGGCCCGAGGGCCGGTCGCGCTATCTGGGGCCGGTCGCGCTGTCTGGGGCCGGTCGCGCTGTCTGAGGCCGGTGGCGCTGTCTGGGACCGGTGGCGCTGCCTGGGGCCGGTTGCGCTGCCTGAGGCCGGTCGCGCTGTCTGGGGCCGGTCGCGCTGTCTGGGGCCGGTCGCGCTGCAGCCGGGCAGACGGCTGTGCGCAGGTGACGGCGCGAGGGGCCAGGTGTTACTCTTGGGAAGAAACAACTGAGGCAGATGTCTGGGTCGCATCCAAGGCGGGGGTTGATCGGAGGGTAGCATTTAGAGGAGACGGTGCTGTGAGTGGGTTTGCCTGAACGGCACAAGTGACGCTGGCCTTCTTTTTTCTCTTTTTTTTCGGGGTTCTCCGAGTATAGTTTTTTGGAGGCAGGGACCACCGCATCGCATGGGAGCGGAGACCTCAACAGCGCGGCGAGCCTGTTAATAGAACATGCCCGTCTTGACCTTCACAGACCACATGCGTTTTTCCCATGACCCCGCCACGTCTTGGAGGTCAGATCATGGCCCCGAAAGCTCCCTCCCCCCCTCCGCTGCGCCACTGGGGGTGATAGCCAATCACCAACGCGGGCCGATACGAAGGAAGGCTTCTGATGCGCTGATCTTTTCCAGTGAGCTGGTTATGACCTGCTTCATTCCCCTCCCCCCTCCCCCCGTAAGATAATCACTTGCGCGGTGATTCGAGGGCTTCCTCTATGACTTGCAAATTTTCTGGATTCCGTAGG